CACCCCGTGCGCCCCCCACGCCCCGCCCGCACCGGTGCGGCGCCGCTGACTCCCCACTCCCGTTTAGAAATATCACTTCGGAATTGGCGAAGGTCTACAACACAGAACAGAAAGAGTTGCCTCTTAGAGATTTCGCTGGTCGAGCGGCAAGACTTCGAAAAGGGTCTTTATTCAGGGGATAATCATGGACGTCAATACGGATGGCTCCCCCCCGAGTAAGGTTGCGCGGGAGGTTAAATTCTTTCCTACACTTCAGCCAATTAGGACGTTGCCACGTCATCTGACATAATATGCTCCAAAATCAACAGGCTAATGACCGGGCCAAGAGGCGGGAAAAGGATGTCCCGGCCAACCCGGTCATTGCTACGGGAGCACGGAGGGCAGCGCTGGTCGACCCTGGCGCGCCTAAGTCCCAAGAGCCCTCTATGCACGAGGAGCTGGAGTCGCTTTTAATAGAGATGGCCAGCAAGAAGGGGTCGTTGCTCCAAGAGGATCTGCTCGCCGCCGTCTTCGCCCTGCGGGCCTTACGGAAGCCTGAGCAGCAACCACTCCTCAGCGCCGTGCTGACCGTGGCCATGAAGGTGCAAGAGGGAACTGCCTCCAGCCACCGCGGCTCGTTAACACAGCTAGCATGGCTTCCGATTTTTACGAGTTCTGGGCAGCACTGCAGGTCGGCTTCCCCAGACTCCCGGCCCGGCCTCCGCATTTCCAGCGATGGGCCCAGCCAAAGAGAGTTGAGTTGGGGCACCCTGCAGGGCCCGAAAGACAAAAAAGAGCTAGGAGCGCTGGAGGGTTTCTCCACCGCCAGAGGCGGCGCCGCCGCCGTAGACTGATTCACGAGCTACGAATAAACTCATTTCGGATGGGGGAATGGGATGTACATTAATACAGACGATCGCGATAGCAACTCAGATTGGGCATGCTATCCAGATGCTGAACAGCCCTCCGAGGGCGCGATCCGAGCGGTTGCAGAAGGCCAAGTGCTCGAGGTCATCAAACAGGCGCTCGCATACACACCTGAAAACGATACCCGCGACCGAGAGGTCGTTCTTGCCTATCTCAACGGGCGGGGAACTGGCCGCCTAAAGGGGCGCTGCAAGAAAGTGGACATAAGAAGCTTGTGGTCAGGCCTCCCAGGCAGGATATCGATGAGCAGAACGCGAATCGAGACCGGGAACGATGAGACCTATGCTGTTCAGAGAACAGATGGCTCCGTCTTAGACCAGAAGTGTAGAGATCAGCTGGCCTACGCTGTCAATACGATATATCCCTAAGTAGGCAGAATAGGTGCACACAGTATATCCATGCACCAAACTAGAATTCTCGCTGCAACCACTAACTAACACACTCAAAAAACCAAATATACGACCGAGTTCCTAATATTGTTCAGAGAGCAAAGCCAGAAGAATAGAACTGACGTCCCGACCCTCGCCTAGGTCGTGGGCCAGGGTCGCAGCAACAGCCTCGCACCCATCCCCAAGCTGGTGCTGGCTGGCGACCACTCTGATCTTATGAAGCGGCTTCCCTATCTAAAAATGTCCTAATCTCCCTAATCTCTGAAATACTCTAAATATTCGTTCCTTTCCCTGATTTTAGGCCTCTAAAGGCACACCAAAGCTCCATTGTAGTGCCTGTGCACTACAAGAAGAGCTCACCAGAAGCATTAAGCAGCGTGTAGCAGGGTGGCCGCAACATGTGTGGTAGGATATGATAGATCAGAGGAAATCCGTGGTCTACCAGAGAGCACATGGCAATGCTTTCTTGAGGGGACTGTAGTGCACAGCGGGCCTACGCTGTCACTACGATAGATCCCTAGGTAGACTGAATAGGTGCACATACTATATCGAGACACCAAAATCTATGATTCTCGCTGCAACCACTAATAAACTCAATTAACAACCAAATATACGATCGTGTCCCTATTATTGTTCGGAAAGAAAAACCAGAGTAATAGAACTGATGCCCGACCCTCTCCGAGGGCGTGGGCCAGGCTCACAGCAACAGCCTCGCACCCAGACCCAAGCTGGTGAGGGCAGGCGACCACTCTGATCTTATGAAGCTGCTTTTCTATCTAAAAGCGTCCTAGCCCCTGATGTATTCTACAGTATTCATTCCTTTTCCTGACTATAGGCCTCTAGAGGCCACACCACAGCTCCATAGTAGTGCCTGTGCACTAGAGGGACCGTCTCGGCTAAACCCGGACTTCACAACTCCCCACAAGACCACGCATCCTCGCCTCAGCTATCAAGCTGCCGCCACTGCACGGCTAACCCTGGAACTCTTCCCATGCCCTCAATTACTGCCCACATCCTGAAGTGAACAGCTAAACTTCACTGTTACTACGTTATGTCTCCTAAGTCGCACTAGGTGCATGCGCCGCATCTGGTATCTATTCTCTACGCACAGTCCACAAACGTTCCATTTAATCAAATATTAATTTCCGAAACATATTCGAGTCCCCATTATTAAGGGAAAACCCAGAGTAATAGAACTGATGCCCGACCCTCGCCGAGGGCGTGGGCCAGGCTCACAGCAACAGCCTCGCACCCACCCCCATGCTGGTGCCGGCTGGCGAGCACTCTGATCCTATTAAGCTGCTTTTCTACCTAAAAGTGTCCTAATCCCTGAAGTATTCCATAGTACTCACTCGTTTTCATGATATTAGGCCTCTAGAGGCCACGCCAAACCTCCATTGTAGTGCCTGTGCCCTACGCATACTGTAGTGCACCGGCACTAAAGTGGTGCTCAAGTCGGTCCTCTCTCGGCCTAACGAGCGGAGAGAGTCGAAATAAACTCTTCGTGGAAATGAATCAAGTAACACTAGATAGAAAAAAGGCCTTGAGGCTAAGGCTGCACGGCAAGGATCCCAGGTCCTAGGCTGGCTATGAGGTTGGTCCTGCCGCAGGCGCCGACCGGCTGTGGGTTCACGGTGGGTTGATCTAGGGAATATCCCCTGAGTGTAGATCCACACTGCTCACCTAAGTAGGTGCGTATACGGTAACGCGTAGTAACAGCCGTGGGTGAGCGCTGCTCACTACACATAGCTTCGACAGCAACATTAAGTCCAGACACAACAAGGCGCTGGAGAGGATAACAACGGCCGGATGACATGCAGATATTATTAAGACCCGAGACCATCTTGGGAGATGGAAATCGCAAGACCCGAGACCGTCTTGGGCGATGGAAATCGCAAGACGATCGCAGTCGCAGACGTAGCTGTCGTCTTCGAAGTAAAGAGAACTCTTTCGGTGCCGCTCGCATTCATAAAGAAGAAAACATCTCACAGGCTGAGGCAAAAATAAGAAAAGTCAAGCAAAGGGAGCTATCGACAGAGCGCTACATTGGGAGGTATCCGCCCTTAACGGTGACTCGGGAAAGGAGTGAAACTTTACTTTTCCGGAACACCAACAGCTAAAACCGCGGAATAGTCTCCAACCAGGAATCTTGGACAGTCTTGCAGTTCTAGAATGGATCTGGATGGACATTCCAGCTGTTTACTTAGTGGATTCTTCATTAGGTAGTGTCTGTGATAGCATCGACGTTACGCTAGACAGAATCGGCGGGTATTCGCACTTGATCTGCTCAACTCCAGTCACAGGAGACGGAGCTCGACAAGCGTTCATCAATCGCTTCTCGAAGCTCCACGGTTTCCCGAACAGCGTCATTACTGACAAGGCTCCGAAGTTAGTTAGACTCTTCTGGAGCGAATTCATTGCATGACTTAAGCGTGAACGTAACATGACCAGAGAACCGGACCGAGGCAGACGGTCGAACTTAACGGACCAGCTCCGCGTTTGTACAATACCTGCTACTCTATTCCACGTAAGCTTCATCAAATTGGCGTAACTTTTCTCCTTTCGCAGAATGGAATTCTGTATAATTCAGCGTTTCGTCTTTTACTCCTTTTTCTCTGGCTTCGCTCGTGTAGGCAGGAACGCCGTTATCTGACCCGACATTGACCTCGTATTTGCGAGCCTTCTCCATACCTCTGCAGCTGCAGTACTCTATGCGCAGTTTGCAGCAGCTGGGGGATGTACGAAGAAAGTACAAGAACGCCAGGAAAGAAAGTAATGCGAATTACGTTCACCAGTCACTGCCAGCCCTGCCCACTTGGCTCTAGTGGATTCACACGCTTTCCGGCATTTGCAGGATAGTGAGTAGCCGAAGAAGTCTGTTATTTGCTGCATGAGGCCCTTCGCTGCTTCTTCTCCAGAAAGCGCCGTCTTACACCGTAAACTTATCCCTGGAGAGGAGGCGTCTCAATACCGTTGTTAGCGGTTTTCTACAACAGTTCAGTGAATCGGTGAGATTCCCCCAAGCCATAATCAAAAAACGGCAGCAACTTCACTGCGAGACTCAGCAGGTGAGGACACTAAGATCCTGGTTTCACGTGCAAGGACGCACAGAGATCACATAGAGCTAGATTATTACATTAAATTGCCAGAAGACCGAACATCAGAGTGGTGTCTGAGAACTGGCTGCGCTCAATGCTTCTTCAGGGTTATATGCACGCTCTTCTTGACTCAGCATTGGCAACTACAAACGCGGCGTGCACGACATGGTCGAGCGGTGGGCTGCGTACAAGCCTTCGTCGTGGGCATTGGCTCTGGTGCACTGGTAGAGCGGCTTAAATACTGCATTACACATCCTCTGCGATGCATCCATTCTTCGTCGCAGGCTGTTCCCCTACTACTGCCTACGAGCAGCACCACCCCGCTTCTGACAGCAACTCCAGTTCCCACACGTCCTGGGGATACCCCTCACCCTTGGAGGCTTACACCCACTACCTACCGCGTGTCTTAATGCTATGTGGAGGTTGAGTTCACATTTTTGCATGAGATCTGGATTACCCCATTCTAAAGTGGCGGTGCCCAACATAGGCGTGCAGCAAAGGGCATCGCAACAGCCTGTGGGAGTCCCGGGCGGCTGCAGCGATATGCAGCCAGTACCAACATCAGCTGCTCCTCCACTGGAAATGGCTTTCCCTGCTCTAAGTCGCCGATGGGCCCATCTCGCGGATTCTGATTACCCGAGGACTGTCACGAGCTGCTATTAAGACACAAGAGTTAAGGTAAGAGTTCGAGAGACGCTCTGGGCGCAACGCTCCAAGATCCTGAGGGAGAGAAGGCTGCTTGAGATGAGTCGCATCACAGCTCGTTGCTAATGCTAATTTTGCAACCCCCGATTACATTAATCACAATCAAAGACCCCCTTTGCTGCTGCCTACACTAGCACTGTGGGAAATTGCTGAACTTCTATGTTTGCAAGCAGTCCATCTATTGAGGACAAGGAAGTGTTTGTCTACCAACTTTGGAGAGAGCATTTTGCAAGCAAGCAAGGACCTTCATTAGACTGTAGCAGCATCTACTGCACTCGTGTACGCTGCAGTAGAGACTCCTGCTGATGCTGCGGCTGCCGTAAGAGGGAGATCCTGCACAAGCATCATCTACTGCTGCAGAAACTGCCGTAACAGCACCTACTGTATGGTATTGTGTCTACAGGAGCTGCAGCAAGAGCGTCTTTTCTCTCTTAGAGCCCCGCGGGCACTTGCTGCTTAAGGCATGCACAGGTCCCTGCATGTTTGTCCATCCACACACATTTATCCGGGTGAAAAAGACTCAAAACATTATGAAATTATAGGTAGTAATAGAAAAAGAAAAAGAAAAAAATACATTTGTTAGGGCGTACCTGAGGCCGAACAGTAGCAACAGCACTTCATTGGTTATCGTAAATGATGTATGGATGATATGTTGGGTTGTAGCTGCTCGGAGGATTTACTTTTTTCACCGATATAATTGGTATAAAAAAAGCGTAATGAGGCAAAGAACAAGTA